TCGCCCATTCGGCGATGGGAGATGAAAGTATATATGTGAGTCGGGCGTAGAACGAGCATTTCCCAGACAACTGCAGGGCCGATTGGGCTGAAAATTTGCACGGGTGCGGGGATCTTTACCAAAACGACCCAGAAAATTTTTCAGAGCGATCGCGTTTTTGGAAAGGGGTCAAAACGGGCTTTTAGTGGCCCGAATCGGTTATTGGCCAATCGAGCTGTCAGTCAAGGCGTGTTTGAAGCCTCGCCTATTCGGCGATGGTATAAGAAAGTATATACTGTGAGTCGGGCGTAGAACGAGCATTTCCCAGACAACTGCCGGGCCGATCGGGCCGAAACTTTGCACGGGTGCAGGGACCTTTACCAAAACGACCGAGAAAATTTTTCAGATCGATCCGATCGCAGAAAGAGGGTCAAAACAGGGGTTTTGTGGGACGGAGAGAGGTTGCAAGTTAATCAGGCCGTCAATCAAGTCACACACCACAAACGGTGGGATAAAAGTATATTGCTATTATATAAACGAAAAAGAAATATACTCATAGTGGAGAGGTCGGAGATGGGTACCTCTGAAGAGCGTCAACCGAGATGACGGAGGCAGGCTGTCAGGCAACAGCAAGTACTTCGTGCATAAGGTTTTTTATTTCGTGAAATTTTGCGCGTCGAGCGTTAGTGGTACAATTTTGAGGTATACTGGGAGTCGGGCGTAGAACGAGCATTTCCCAGACAACTGCCGGGCCGATCGGGCCGAAACTTTGCACGGATGCAGGGACTTATACCATATCGACCCAGAAAATATTTCAGTGCGATCGCGTTTAGGGAAAGGGGTCGGAACGGGCTTTTAGTGGCCCGAATCGGTTATTGGCCAATCGAGCTGTCAGTCAAGGCGTGTTCGAAGCCTCGCCCATTTGGCGATGGGAGATGAAAGTATATATGTAGTCGGGCGTAAAACGAGCATTTCCCAGACAACTGCCGGCCGATCCGGCTGAAACTTTGCACGGGTGCAGGGACCTTTACCAAAACGACCCAGAAAATTTTGCAGAGAGATCGCGTTTTGGGAAAGGGTTCAAAACGGGCTTTTAGTGGCCCGAATCGGTTATTGGCCAATCGAGCTGTCAGTCAAGTCGTGTTTGAGGCCTCGCCCATTCGGCGATGGTATATGGAAGTATATACTGTGAGTCGGGCGTAGAACGAGCATTTACCAGACAACTGCCGGGCCGATCGGGCCGAAACTTCGCACGGGTGCAGGGACCTTTACCAAAACGACCGAGAAAATTTTTCAGATCGATCCGATCGCAGAAAGGGGGTCAAAACGGGGGTTCTGTGGGACGGAGAGAGGTTGCAAGTTAATCAGGTCGTCAATCAAGTCACACACCACAAACGGTGGGATAAAAGTATATTGCTATTATATAAACGAAAAAGAAATATACTTACAGTGAAGAGGTCGGAGGTAGGTACCTCTGAAGGGCGTCAACCGAGTTGACGAGGCAGGTTGTCAGGCAACAGCAAGTACTTCGTGCATAAGGTTTTTTATTTCGTGAAATTTTGCGCGTCGAGCGTTAATGGTACAATTCTGAGGTATACTGTGAGTCGGGCGTAGAACGAGCATTTCCCAGACAACTGCCGGGCCGATCGGGCTGAAACTTTGCAAGGATGCAGGGACCTTTACCATATCGACCCAGAAAATATTTCAGAGCGATCGCGTTTAGGGAAAGGGGTCAAAACGGGCTTTTAGTGGCCCGAATCGGTTATTGGCCAATCGAGCTGTCAGTCATGGCGTGTTTAAAGCCTCGCCCATTCGGCGATGGTAGATGAAAGTATATACTGTGAGTCGGGCGTAGAACGAGCAGTTCCCGGACAACTGCCGGGCCGATCGGGCTGAAACTTTGCACGTGTGCAGGGACTTTTACCAAAACGAACCAGAAAATTTTTCAGATCGATCGGAACGCAGGAAGGGGATTAAAACGGGGGTTTTGTGGGACGGAGAGAGGTTGCAAGGTAATCAAGCCGTCAATCAATTCACACACCACAAACGTTAGGTTAGAATAAATCGCTAGTATATAAACCAAAAGAAACAATGTTGCCATTGAGCAACTCGGAAGTGGGTACAAGTGCAGGGACCTTTACCAAAACGACCCAGAAAATTTTTCAGAGCAATCGCGTTTGTGGAAAGGGGTCAAAGCGGGCTTTTAGTGGCCCGAATCGGTTATTGGCCAATCGAGCTGTCAGTCAAGGCGTGTTCGAAGCCTCGCCCATTCGGCGATGGGAGATGAAAGTATATATGTGAGTCGGGCGTAAAACGAGCATTTCCCAGACAACTGCCGGGCCGATCGGGCCGAAACTTTGCACGTGTGCAGGGACCTTTACCAAAACGACCCAGAAAATTTTTCAGATCGATCGGATCG